TCCCTGATCCTTTGAGACGTAAAACGCTTTTGCGTGCAGTCGACTGTGAACCCGTAAAAGGCTTGTGGTCGATGATTTTGTCCCTGCAGACCTTCCGAGTGCCAGTATCTCCTCCACTCGGAGTCGCTTTAAAGCTGCCCTCAAGGGGTTTACTCGAAGCTTCCTTGGATGTGGACGTCTGGTACGATAAATCTAATGGCCGTGCCGGCATCGCTTGTGACCCAGACGGCACTTTCTCGTTGCAACATCTATAGCTAAAAACCGTGTAGGCTCCTTCGGGGCCGAATCGGTGACTATCTAAGATGTCGTTTTTATACCGACTTTAACGCCATGTTAGTCGGCGGCATTTTTCAGGGATCCGGGCTGCATTATTGCTGTACATCATTTTTGTGGTTCGTTGGTCGCCTACTGAGCCGAAACCGTTCGGCGACCGAGCAATGGACACGGTGACGCATGACACCCTGGATTAGGGGAGATGATAGAATCGACACCTTCCGGGTCTAGATGTATAGTATTCGGTGGAAACAGGGTCACCTCTTGAAGGATGCGACAACGCGCCCTACGATCTTGATGTGGGAGTGGCTAGGCACACAGGATCACCTACATATCCACACCCTGAATCCTGAAACGAGAGCTTACTTTTGGTAGGTTTTGAAGTATTTTGATAGAGATTTTGGTAGGAAAAATTCAATTCTGAGTTGCAACTCTGATTGGCAAAAACCTTTGTTTGAGCAAGATTTTTTGATCAATGACTGGATTTACACATCTATGTATGTATATGTAGGACATTAATAAAAGCTGAGCGCTTATTTTTTCTCTTAATTAAAGTCCTTAAAAACGCGGAAAACCCAATTTCGGCCAAGACTTAAGCGCTGGTTATACTTACGTTGCAAGTGCAGGGCATAGAGTAGAGAAGCAGCGCATGTGAAGCAGTGGTGTAATTATTCTCGGCATAGAGCGCATAATCGCCCAGAATCAGCTGTTTAGTGTAATCAGTTGGTATGTTCCAGTACTCCAGGATTTAGTAGGAAGACATAACTGAAGAATGCATATTCATAGCCTAAAAGAAGTCGACACTAAAGTTAGTTGCTGCTTTTTGTCATAATTTTCAATGAAATGGCGGCAACTAACTTTATAATCGATTTTGTTTCGACTATAAATATGCCCCAATGTATGTACAAGAACGACTTCTCAGTAATTCCTGTAAATCTAATGTGTACTGGAACAGACTAATGAGAGAAATGAGAGTGGCATCTCTCCTTGAAAATGTCCCATAGCGAAAAATCCAAATTCTCTAGACTTCGCTGTCATGCCCTGTCGTGCTCTGCGTCGGATAATCGCTTGTACGCAAAGCCCATTAAACAGATTCGATATGCGACAGTACTCATGTTATGCGCTGGAATACAATGTATGTATAACTAGCGCTTTATATATGTTAAAAAGGGGTTTAAGTATAGACCAACGGTGGGTAAACGCGGCTCTTTGAGCCAAATGCGGCCCTTTGCTTTGGTAACCTTTCAAAAATCCAAGCGCGTCTAGCTACCTGTTCAAAGGGAATGATGAATGTACGAGTAGTAGCTCCAAAACGCTTGAGCTTCTCATGCAGACGCACTTTCCTGATTGTTCCGACACAGAGGATCGACGGGAAATCCCTTTTATTATTATTTCTGATGGGAACATTAAGGAAGCTATTTGCAGCTTCTCGATCGAACTTCAGAAAATAATGGATATAGTTATTCCAAAACTAAAGGCTATTTATAGAGCGGCTATCAGCCTATATACCTCAGAGATGAACGCAGGTAAAAGTTGTATTTATCCTCAAAGCGGGTAAATTTTCGCACACCAAACGCAATGAGTTCAGACCAATTAGCCTCTCGTCCTTCCTACTGAAGTCACTAGAGCGCATATTGGACACCCAAATTAAGGAAATAGTTGGTCCAAAGCTTTCTACTTCCCAACATGTAAAGGAAAGGGTGTAGATATGTGATATCTGTCTTCTTGGACATTCAAGGTGCTTTCAATAATATCAGTGCGGATGCCGTCATTTCACCGCTCCAGGAACTTGGGACTTTGCAACACGCTGATAGCGTTTGTCAACAATCACCTCCGGGATATGGTCATAAGCTCAGAACTAGGAGAGGCCTCCGTCAAAACGTACGCGGCAAGGGGAACCCCCCAGGGAGGTGTACTCTCACCTCTACTATGGAACATTTCCGTTGACAGTTTGCTTAAAGAAGTAGAACGAAACGGCGGCAGAGTGGTAACCTACGCCGATGATATTGTCATTAGGGCTACAGGTAAACATTTAGCAACCCAAACTAATCTCATTCTGCGCTGGTAATAACAAATTTGTAACCGGTAAATAAAGTTCCTTTAAATTTTTAAACACTTTTCGCATTCTATGTACTCTTGTAACCGTTAAATTTTGTTACCATCTCATAAGCTGGTAACAAAATATTGCCCCGTGAAATATGGAATGCCAGAATTTCCACAATTCTTCACAGCTGAATTCCTGAATATTTTAACTGTGTTACCAACATTCCTAGAATCGCGGCGACAAGAACTGGTAACATTTTTTGGTAATGTCACTTTAAATGGTGCCTTACTACAGAGAACTGATCAGGTTAAATATCTAGGTCTAATTCTGGATAGGAAACTAAATTGGGGACCTAACATCGATGAAAGGGTCCGCAAAGCCACAACTGCCGTATGCTCCTGCATCAGGGCTATTTGCAAAAACTGGGGTCTGGAGCCCAAAATTGTAACAGGGATCTACACCGCGGTGGTAGGACCGATTATCTTCTATGAGGTAGTAGTTTGCTGGGATTCTCTCAATAAAAAGGTTAACTCTAAGAAAGTGGACAAAGTTGAATGACTGGCTTCTCTACTAACAACAGCCACAAAAGCGCTCAACACGCTGCTACCATTTCTGTCGACGGATCTATATGCAAAAAAGATGGCATGTAGTACCGTAATTAGGCTCAACGCGACCAATAAATAGACGCATCAACATATCGGTCACTGCAAAATTTTGAACGACCTTACTCAGTTTCTTACAACCGATTGCATTCCACCCACCCGCACTTCCATGGCCATGTTCACGACCCTTCTTCCCTCAAGGTAGGAATGATCAATCGACACAATTAGGAAAAGCGGATCCATCCATGTCTACACGGACGGATCGAAGCTCGAAAAAAGAGTAAGGTGGTGGGGTCTATTCGGAACAGTTAGGCATATCGTTCAGCTGCCGCCTATCTGATTACTGCCGTGTTTTTCAGGCGAAACTGATGGATATCTCAAAGGTCGCCACTGGTCCAGTTTGATACGATTCCTAGTCACGATATCTACATCTTCACTGACAGCCAGGCGGCAGTAGTTGCTCAATGCCGCGGACCTCTCAACGTGATGGCTGAGACATTCAGCACACGCATTGTCTGGGTACCTGGCCATTACGACATTTAGGGAAACTGCAAGGTTACCGAACTCGCCCGTCATGGAACGACATTACCTGATACAGGCATAAGCGATAGTAAATGAAAATTCATAGAAGTTGCCAATGAAAGATGGCAAATGGAACCGACCAGTCAGATTGCCACAACACTCTGGCCCGCCACGAACGCCCAACGTGCCAATTCTCTACTTACTCTAAGGAGGCAGGACTTTGACATAGTAAATGGAGTTCTCACCGGACATTGTCTGATCGGATTACACGCAGCTAGGCTGGGCGCACCCTGGAACGACTACTGCAGAAGCTGCATGGATGTCGACGAAGAGGAAACCATCCCACATCTTCTCTGTCATTGCCCCGCTCTATCAAAACGGAGAGAAAAAGCTCTCGGGAGCTATTTCTTCGACGATCTCGATGACCTCAAAGCGGTGAACGTCGGAAGCCTTAGCACATTCTTGCTAAGGACCAAGTGGTTTACGGGGGAACGAGGAAATTAAAAAACCCTCATGCGGTATCACAAAGGACCCTAAGGAGTCTAAGTGAGTCCTTCTTCAGGACTGCCGCTCAACTTAACCTAACCTTTGGTTGGCCACAGGTGCCCGAAGGCCTCCAATTTGTGTTTCTTTGGTTGTTCTTGGGTTGTTGAGAGCCACTTTGAGCGAGTAATATTTGCTTCTCACTAGCCCGAAGTTGGCCGGACTATTTTTCCGGGCGAAACTGTCAAACTGCTAGAAGAAGAGGAACAATTTTAAACATTAAAATTTTAGCTAATAAATATATGCATATTTAGCTGTTTTTCTTTGATTGATAAGTGAAGAAATATCAAGTGAACCATTAGTATAACGTTATTGTATTTGCTGCCGCTCAAATCTTAAATTTATAATTTTGTGTGATTTGATGTTTAGAGCTCAACCAGGCACCGACGGAGCACCCTTCCATACTTGCTGTCCGTATCAACATATGAAATTGCTGTTAAGAGAAATAGAAGTAATGACAACCTCACAGTCATGCGGTGGTTAACACGATAATCCCATAAGATAGGTTGTATCAGCTGAAACGGTCTACGGTTTTACGTTTTGGGCAGTTTATTCACGTTTGTGAGAGCATTTCGTACTAAGATACCAGTAGGTCTATTGTGGGCTCAGCTCATCACAGTACCTCATCTAGCTCTAGAAACTCTAGAAATTTCAGAATTGATCCTGGGAGTAGAGAGGGTACGTGGTCCTCTCTTGGCCATAAATTTCGTACACACGCTCATTTAACCAAAACTAGCCCGAAAATGTAAAAAAACAAACATAATGTTTGAACGAGGTAGGTAAAATTACATGCACAATATGTAACAAACGAAGTCAATTTTAATGCTGGATTTTTGGAAATTTTCTATTAAGAAAAACAAAACAATGCAAAATTGCATATATAAAAATTTACATAAAACGAAGCTTCAATGATAATATTTCTAACTTACAAATCGTCACCTGAAATGCAAAATAACGTAACATCATCGCCACTGAAATGGAAAAAGTCGTGACTATTTTTTTTTCATAAAACTATGTGGGGAGTTGTAGTTTGTTGAAATCCGTCATGTCAATCAAAAAGTGAATTTTGAATTTTTTATAAGTTACGACTGTTTGCATTTCAGTGACAATGTTTGTTACGTTATTTATCATTTCAGGTGACGATATACTGAAATTAAAATAAAAACAAAACGAAATTATAAATTTATATATATGTATGTATGTTTGTGCAGTGCCGCACTATATTATATATCACAATGTATGCAAAAATTGTTACATAGAATTTTCCGAGTATTTTTTATAAAAATATTTTTTATACTACAACAAAAAACATAAAAAAGATCTCTTAACTTCGTGCAAAACTCAGGAAAATTTAATAAGTCCCCTTTCAGACACGACAAGTCTTGCTTTCAAGTCTGCTCGTTCGTTGGCGAAGGAGGTGAGAAGAGAGGGGAAGAGTACAGATACCTCCGTACCGCCAATTCGTTTCAAGTTTTCTTGTCTCTTTTGATCTCTTCGTTGCTTCCCATTTAAAGAACCAAGGACTTGAATTCAATTGAAGTTGACGCGTGTAGAAGCAAATAGAAAACACAAAAGAGAATGCGAAAAAAATTGCTTTCAAGACTTGACGTGTCTGAAAGAGGACTAAATTTTCATACAAGTTGGCATTTTAGTATAACAAAGTGCCCCTTTGAAGTTAGTAAAAAATGGTGTTGATTTTTGGGAGCTTCTTTGCAGGTACATAGTTTCTTACATACAAAATAAAATTATCGAATATACTTTGGTACTACACTCATTTTAACTGGGACACAAATTACAAATTTTGCTTTTACTACACGGCGTATAGTGCCGATTAGTAATTAGAATAATATCAATATTATGTAAAATGTAAATATTTAAAGAGTTCTAAATTGTTTACATCGAGATGTCTAAATTTTTTTCTGGCCAAAAAACGGGACATTTTGCGTACCGACAGGTATTGTACCGTGGCCGGAACATAGCTCTTAAATCCGGGACAGTCCCGCCGAAAACGGGAGGGTTGGCAACCGTGCTGCAAGGAAAGTATAAAATGTTTTGTATTTGTCGCAAATTATTTTAGGTTTTGAAGCTAAACTACGACTTTTTATACATGATCTCAAAAAAAGAATATTTCATAATTTTCCATGGCTAGAAAAAGTTTTTGCACATGTCAAAGAGGATTATTATTATTATGTCGCAAAACTACATGATTTAAAGGAAGATTTTGATAAAAGATTTGCCGACTTGAAATTTTGATGTAACATAATTGAGGATGAGTTTAAAATATCCGATAATAGATAGAGATAAGGCACTGCAACATAAAGCTTGAATTCCGGGAACAAATACCAGATTTAAAATATCCGCTTTTGAAAACAGCTGCGTGCCCTATATTTTAAATTTTTGGTACAACGTATAACTGTGAGTCTTTGTACTCTACAATGAAATTCGTAAAGTCAAAATACTGTTCACAATTGACTAACCAACATTTAATAGAACTGTTATGAACGGCTGACGTAAAACCATATTTTGAAAATTTGGTTAAAGGGATCTTTTGAATTTTCTTTAATATTTTATTAAATTAGAATAATAATAAAATTAATGTTTTTCATTTCAAATAATAATTTTATTTAAAAATATTTTTTTTTGTTTTTTGTGGCTCTTTGTAGTATTTAAAATTTACATGTGGCTCTTTTCGGTCTCGGCCTTACGCACCCCTGGTATAGGCAGTTGAAATTACGTTACAAAGCCCCATTATATGAACAAAACATTTTAATATAAATATGCATGTGTGTGTGAATATTCTGATAATTTTTCTTACATACATATATCACATAACGGGTGATTTTTTTGAGGTTAGGATTTTCATGCATTAGTATTTGACAGATCACGTGGGATTTCAGACATGGTGTCAAAGAGAAAGATGCTCAGTATGCTTTGACATTTCATCATGAATAGACTTACTAACGAGCAACGCTTGCAAATCATTGAATTTTATTACCAAAATCAGTGTTCGGTTCGAAATGTGTTTCGCAAACCCAATTGCTGCGAACGGCGACGAATCGACATTTCACGGTCTTCAGCAACACTCTCAGAAACAGACGCAATATTCTCTTCTGTACGCACTGTACGCATTCGTGTGGTTGGTTTAATGTCCAATAAAGTAAACTGAGTGCGAAACTTGGTCACAATCGCATTAATTGTTTGCTCACTTGGTCGATTATGTAGACCATAAATCGGACGTAAAGCGAACCGAACACTGATTTTGGTAATAAAATTCAATGATTTGCAAGCGTTGCTCGTTAGTAAGTCTATTCATGATGAAATGTCAAAGCATACTGAGCATCTTTCTCTTTGACACCATGTCTGAAATCCCACGTGGTCTGTCAAATACTAATGCATGAAAATCCTAACCTCAAAAAAATCACCCGTTATAACATATTACATACATATCTGAATATCACCAAAACCACACAGACAGGTATTTTTAATATGTACCTCAACAAAAAATTATTAATTATCCGGAAGCCACTCCAAATTATTGTTTTGTTAAATAACTGGCTATCACATAGGTACATATTTATGTATGTATGTACATATGTACTTTATTCTACTGCATTAAAAGGCCAGCAGAAATGCCAAACAAACAAGAGCGAGTGCCATAAATACACATATATATGTATGTACACATGTATTTCATACAAACATATTTCCAAAGCTGTAGTGGAGTTAAAATGTTCATTTTTAACTTTGAAAACGAAAGAAAAACAAATTGCAGGCTGCACATTGTCGAGACTCAACGAAGACTCCCATCGCAACCCAAGCGGTCACGGCCTTGACGTGCATGCATACATACACTGAGGGAAAAAACAAAGGTAAAAGCAACAATAACGAGGTTGATTCTACACTAAACAGCTATGATAGTCTACCAAAGCCGAAATTTGTCAAATCAGCTATGGAAATGTAATTCTTACGTTGAAAAATTGTGTTGATATTTTAAGATTGTTTCTTTTCAAATCAAATTGCATTAATGTTGATTTAAAAATGCGTATCTTTCATTCAACTTCGAAAATAAAGTGATTTAAACCTGACTTTGTTTTTATTTTAACAATGATTACTGTCAATTTAAATACTCCCAATGTTGACCTAAGAATATAGAGTTGCTAATTTAACATTGAAAAGTAGTTGGTTTGACTTTTTTTAAGGTTGCTTCAAACACGCCTTCAATGTTGGTTTAACTATGTAGCACTCTTTATTTAACATTTAAAAACCCTAAGCTTATAATTTCCACAAGTATAAAAACAAGTTATTGACATATTTTTTTAATTTTCTTTTATTTTTTCCAGTCCAGGGAATATAGTAATATTCCTGAAAATTTTAATATTTGTTTTATGAAGAAGTAATGGCCAATGTTTATAATCACAATAAAGTTAACTTTAAAATTAATCTTTTTGACATTTGTTACTTTCTAATTTTAAACTTAACTTTATGTTGCTTATAACCATGCCCTAATTTATTTGATATTCTTATATAACATAAAATCACCTTTGTATCTACTTCACTAGGAAAAACGGAGCAAATTTCGTTTACCAGCGAATGAAAATCACTTGGTTAAAGAGAAATGTTTCCGTAACATATTTCTTCGATTAAAATAGCTATTATTTCGTCCCTGTTGATGTTGTCAAGTCTGTTGTTCTCTTTGTAGAAGTTTAAAATTTTTGTTCCACGTGCGGTGTTTGATAACAGGGTAAATAAATCCTGTAGAAAATCAAATGCTGTATATAAATACGGAAATAACTTCGGCCATAAAAAGATGCTATGCACTTATGAGCTTCAATAACGCATACGCAGATATTTTATTGTACTGAGCACATGGTTTTTTTTTAATATTTACACTGCTTCTCGAGGTATACTTTTTGGTTATCTTTCTAAGTGTTGCTCATGCTTTTATCAAAACCATATAAACCAAACGCAATACAAATCTAAAAAAATTACTTTTTGACTTAAANTGGAAGAATTAAAAAAAATCAACGCCAATTTTTATAAATTGCACTTCTTATAAGAAAAAAACAACGCAAGAGCCGTCAGCAAAATAGTTATTAAAACTCAACGCGATTCTTTAGCCACATAAAATTTACACTTGTTTTACTCAAATCTCATAGGCGATGTTACTGTATAATTAAATATTTTATATTTTCTAAATATTGTATAAAGTTTGGTTTATATCGTAATAGAATGAATAATAATAAAAAAAATCACCATACACTCAATTATTTTCGCCACTGTATATTTCGACTGTAGATAATTTATCGCAAATAGATTTTTCATGAAACCACTCAGGAAAACTATCTTTTTTTGGATTCGATGATTTAAGCATACAAAATGTTTACACTACACTTTTATTTATTCTTTAGTACTCACATTTTAAATATTCAAACACAGTTTCCATATCAAAACCTTTTAAAAGCGCCTTTAATTTGTGGTCGTCGTTTTCTTCCTCGCTCAGAAATGAATTTGGAGTTATAGTATATATAACTTCGCCAGAAGCTGGAGTTATATTAATCACTTCGCCAACTATTGCGTAGAATACATTTTCAAAAACTTCCTCACTTTCCATTTCTATAAAAATCTTTTGATTATCACCTTTTTACATTTTTGCTTTCACAACCGAACTTCACGCGTCAAAAATTTGTCTTAAATAAAGCTGCTTGTCATGCAGTAATGTAGAACAGTAAGCCAGGAACCGTTATTCATATGTACGTTTTGTTGCTAGATACAATTCAAGAGAGTAAGATCTACCGCAAAACAACTTTGATTCAACAATGTTGCAATTTCAAATTAACAATAACAGTGTAGAAGTAAAAATGACTTTTAGTTATTTTGCAGAAAACTGAAACAATGTTGATTTGAAATTATTTCTAGTTAGATCGACTATTGAATTGTTAAATCAACCTTAAAACTGTTATGTGGTTATTTTTAAATGCTAAATCAAATAGGTTTTCTTGAACTTTGCACAATTGTAAAAATGATGGTGATCGGAGTTATTTTAACGTTTCAGTTTTTCCCTCAGTGTATGTACTTACATATATCTGTAGTCATAAGCAATAACCGCCTAA